GCAGTAAAGCTTCATCGCTGATTTGGTGATCCCGCAGACAGGGAGCGGGCGAGAGCGCTGAGCCGAGAATTCCCTGCGTCTCTGAGAGACGAGAGAATCGCTCGGTGGAAAAGTACAATAGAAGAGTGCAATCTCCACGATGAACGCCTATGGGGCTTATCCAAGGCGCTGGGGCGGCAACCAGGAGTAAATCACCCCATTCAAACCAACGCGGATATCCCAAAGCTCCCTGGTCAACCTCCTCCGGCACCGGTGTATGTGTGGACGACGCTGCAAAAAGCGAAGTCTTTGCTGACTCGCTCGAGCGGCAGTTCCGACTCAACGACGCCGGAGCCAGCGATGCCCACGTGACTGCGGAGCGCCTACGGTGCCTCCTGGCAGTCACACCGAATACATCAGCCCGTCGCGTGACGGACGGAGAGCTCCGCGGAGTGCTCCGCCGCCTCAACCCAACAAAATGTTGCGGCCCTGACGGCATCACCGTCGTCCACTTGAGATCCGTTGGTGACAAAGGGGTTGAATTTCTTCTGGCACTCTTCAATGCCTGCCTAGCACAAGGATATATCTCGCGTCCGTGGAAAACAGTGAGCATCTGCTTAACACCCAAGTGCGGTAAGAGCATCTTCCTGCCGAGTAGTTATAGACCCATTAGTCTACTATCGCTCATAGGAAAGACGTGAAAGACGCCTCTGCACCGAGATTTGCCTCTCTGGAGAGAGAGGCGGCAGAATCTGCCTACCGTCTTCCTGGACATGCGGTCGGCCTTCGACACGGTGTGGCATGAGGGGGCACTCTTATGTCTCATCGAGTCAGGGATAAGCGACTGCTACACCATGTTGATCGGTAGTTTTCTCACAAAGAGAACGTCCAGAGTGCGAGTTAACGGCGTACAACCGTCCGTAAGACGCACCGAGGAGGGAGTTCCACAGGGAAGCGTGCTCTCCCCCACCCTCTTCGGCTTGTACGTCCATGAGGCGCCTCTGCTAGCAGAAAGGAGAACGGGAATTCAGCGTTCCGGGCTCCTGATGTTCGCGGACGACTTTGCGTATTACGCGAAATCGGCGAACAGCAGGCAAGCGGTGAGACACCTGAATGAATGCCTCGCCGCCTTTCCCACCTGGCTCCACTAGAAACGCCTGACCCTACACCTTGAAAAGTGCGTAGCCGTTAACTTCACCCGTCAGAGGGCAGACCACGACGAAACGGTGTTGCTTGCGGGCGCGCATCTCCCTTGGTCCCCACGCGCGAGGTATCTTGGCGTGACTAGATCGTGGCCTCTATTGGGACAAGCACGCTAAGGACCTTCGCCACAAAATTCTTGCGAGGACCTCCCTCTTACGTCCCCTCCTTAGCTCCCCGGCCCTATCTATCTCGCAGAAGCGTCTCCTTTTCACCGCCTGCATACGCAGTTTATGGACTTATGCTAGAAAAACCTTTGCGGCAGCGCCGGTCTCGACCTTACGCCCGATTTGGGCGGCCGAGAACCGAGAGGTACGCACCGCCACGTGGCCGTATCTCCCTCCTAACCGCCACCATAGGAACAGTGTAACCTACGGGGCCTTGGGCGTCAGCTGCCCGAGGAGATCCGCCGGAGGGCACACACGGTGCTCACGCGGGCGTTGGACCCGAAAGCTCCGCAGCTCTTGCGCGAAACCGGCCGGGCGGTGAACTGTGAGATCCACCGGACGTATTTTGTGCCGAGAGGGCCCAAGCAAGTGGCCTCCACGTTCCGGGCGCTACCACCGCAGCTTCTCGCAGAACTCTGCAAGCAGCGGCGTGAGACTCCCAGCGGAACGAGTGAGGCTCGGCCCGTAACAATTGCCAGGGCACATTCTGGCCTAGCCGCCAAGGACGCTTGGAGCAAAGTCGGCGCCGTGGCGCACAGTGCAGTGTAAATAGTGTTTTTAGGGTGTATAGTGTGTTGTGAAAGTGCGTGTGCCAAGTGTAAATTGAACCAAGTGTGAATGTGCGAGTTATTTTTTATGAGCTAAATGCCTGAAATTCCACACTGTGCGTTATTGTGTCGAGCTAGCCGAGCTCGCGGCGCTGTTCCCCGCAGGGCTGCAACGTGTTGTGAGGTCCGCCTGTAGTAAGTTCCATGGTTTAGCTGCACAGTGTGCTTGTCACAATGTGCAGCAGGCGCAATACGCCAACTGCACTGCACGGTGGACAACAATGCCAATGCCTCGCGCTAAACGTTGGTACTGAATTGCGCTTTTTTCAATCACTTACAAATTTTAAAGTTCAACAGACTGTAGAGGATTGAGATGCATATTTTCACTAAAATGAATTAACAAAAGTAGGAAGTCTTATTTAAATTACAAATTAAAGAATAATCACTTTAAAAGAACAAATAAGATTTAATATCAGCATACCATGCACAGATTACATTTTCCCAATGTAAAGGAGATGCAACAAGTAAAACCTGTCTTAAGCGGTCACCAATAGTTCCAGCAAAAACTGGTAATTAATAGACATAGCTGCCTAATCAAGATTACAAAGTTACTAAAAGTGTAAATAATATCTAATAGTGCTTAATTGCTGTTGAATAATGTTCTTTAACATTTTTAAATACCAAGAAAGATAAATAAATTTTCACAAGATATTTAGAATCATTTGCCTCCTTGCCTAATATAAAACTTTCTTGACTTGTCACCCACACTCTTAATCAAGAAACTCACTTTCCATCCTCACCCATTCCAAAGAATAAACTACACTTGAAGATGCAATTCACATTCCTGTATAGAAACATTACAGCAGGACAGTGAGTTACCAATTGACCAATTTGAATTCACACTCGTGACATGCGCCGTGAGCCCTTAATAGGGTTTCCACAAAATATAATATCGATTGTTATAATATCGCTGTTTTCGCATGCGTCAACTACTCATGTCGGTTTCCCTGAATGTGTGGTGCATGTTTTTATTTGCTGGATGGTGAGATCTGGCATTTTGAGTCATTCAGGGGCATCCAGTCTTTTGACCATTGGTATATTCTAACAAGGGACACTGGTGCAGGTTGAAATTTGGCATCATGTTTTTTTCTGTAGATAGATATTCACTATTTCTCTGTGTTGTGAAAAAATCAGCTGCCAACATGCACTGGAAGTTACTGGGGGGAAAATAAAACAATTTTCGCAATGCAAATCGTTGCTCACAAGGAGTTTGTGCAGATCTGCCTACGTTAGAGATTGTACACCAAGGGAACAAGTGCTCCTAAGGGCATGAACTCAACTACAGGACACGAAACCCTAAGCTAAACACACTATACTGCACGGCTCGGAGCTTATTCTTGCGGGCACTAGTTCTTTGACATTGAGAAACAGAACATTTGTGTGATGCCAAAGCATCATGCAAGCAAAGTGTGCTCATGGCATGCAAGTACAGTTAACATTGTTTCCCACCTATTTTACAGACACATCAATGTGTCATGTTATTTGTTCACAGTTAAACAGATGAAGTAGTTCAACCTAGTTGAAAAATATTTGGATCATTAATATACATGTTGGTAACACCTGGTGAATTAGCTCTAAAACAATACCTGTGATAACTGTTTCGTTTGACAAGACGAGCGGAAGTCAACTATTGGTCAATTTAAATTATTATAATCAATGACCAATCATTGTCTTAGAGGCCACTCAAAACTTCCTTGGCAAACGCCGCTTATTTTCAGCAGTAGATGCTTAAAATAAGGCTCCATTTGTGTCAAAATGGCAGCATTTTTAAATTAAATCTACAATCACATTATAAATTTATAAAATTAAAATTTCATTGAAATTACCGAACTGGAAAATCGTAAATTTTAATTGATGTATATATTAATCATCTAAATGTAGTTGATGTGCCCATTAATCGTTTCCAAATTTCGTCCTTACTGACAGATAAACAAAATAAATCCACAGATTTAGTATACCTGAACACAATATTACCCGAAATGAACTGGTGTTTTCACCTGGCAAACTCTTTGACTTAATCTGTAAGTAGAGATCCTAAGGAGCAATGACAACAGTATGAAAGTCATATGTGGCAGAAAGGGTTGTCCACAGTGTTCGCAAAAACAGACAAGTGGGCAAAACTGACCAAATTCTGTATTTTCTCCAGAAACTTCCAGGGAGCAACGGCAACAATATTTCCCCCACGATGAATAAATAGTGATTATCTTTCAATATCAAAAATCAGGCTTCATTTCAACCTGCACCGATTGGAAGGCGCCTTGTAAGCTCTCTTGGATGGATGGATTGATTGGTTGTTACTGCTTCCAGGCCTGTCAACTACCGAGGTCATTAGTTCTGTAAGTGTACTGTTTGTTCTTTCTCGGAATGTAGGGGTAGTCTTCCCTTGCTGTATGGCGAGTTCTGGGGCCGACCTACCGTCGGCTAGCAGAGTTTTCCTCAAGTATCTCCCACCAGCAGGGACAAATTCCAAGTTCCCAACCAGTCTCCCGGCATGTGTAGTAGAATAGTTAGAATAGTGCATGTGCGTGTGCGTGTGTGTGTGTTTGTTTGTAAGGGGGTAAGGATAGGAGAACAGAGAGAAAGGGAAGTTTGCACGTGTGGCCTGTTTATCAGGGTACTACTCTGGCATTCGCCAGTTGCTCAGAGAAACCACGGTAAACAACTGATCAGAGCAGCCAGCCGCTAGAATTTTCTACCAAACAGCAACTGAACTCAACCTGGCTGACAAGCCAGGTTTGAAAAATCTTCCCACCGTCGGGACTTCCAGCTCAGAGGGACAGCAGTCCTCTTGGACATGGAGGGAAGGCATACAATTTGGTATTATTTGCATTTGTCTTGACTTGAGATTGCATTCCATTTGATAATTCTCAAGGACACAAAATAAATAGGATCAGACCCAATACCGAGCCTTGGAGAACTCCACTGTGGATTCTTTTCTCGAATTCACACGCAGAAAAGTTGATTCTGTAAGAAAGATTTACCCAATTTAGTAGCTTTTCGCTTATCCCATGATGGCAAGTTTACAAATCACCCTACAGTCCAGTACGTTACCGACAGCTTTAGAAAAGTCCACGTATATGATGTCTGTCGCATTGCCAATGATGGGGCAGTGTTGTTTTTCTGCTCTTGCATTTTCACCAACCAACGTAGTATCTGACATATCAAAATATTGAGGTGTCAGATCAGCACTTCCAATCTTGCCCCGGAATGCAATTTTGCCGTTTCCACATGTTTATTACATGCCTCTGAAATGTTAATAATTTCTCCCGATGCTGGGGAGAGACTGTCCCAAGGTTGCACAACGGTTGTTCAACACTTTAGAAACAGTCCATACCTAGCCTTGAACCACTACACCCATCTATAGCTGGCTTTAAATTAGCTGCAAGAGATGCCATGTTTCCTGGCAATTTTGTTGTCCTCAAATTGCAGCATCTCTCAGGACACTGGAAAACCTTTTTGGTGTCAGGTTTCTCTTACATATACTGACAGCTCATCCTCTACTACAGGATACTTGGATTTCTTCCCTCAAGAAGTACACTTCCTCCAGCTGTTTTTTTCTAACGCACATTTATCCTTGATTCACATTGCTTGGGTTCGCGGGCATGAAATATTATTATATGTAACATTTTGTTTCTGGAAATAGTTGTCAAAATTATCAATATCCTTGTTTAAATATATGTTTGAAAATACAAGAAGGTGTTTAGAGAAAGACAATTGTAGAATCCAGAAAACAGATATTGAAAACTCTGAATAGTGCCAATGTTCTGATATATGCCATCTCCATTAAAGGCAAGGCAAATACATCGAGTAATAGCGGTGAAGAAACTTGGCTTAAACGTAATAGGGGGAAATAACTGATTAAGAGTTCCATGGCAAGAACATGACACAAAGAAAATCCTAGTAGAGAGGAAACGTAGTACAGAAGAAAATTTAGTATTATGTATATAGGCATTCGGCCAGGACAGAAAAAATCTACAGTACTCGGAGGAAAACATTATATGGAGGAACATTATTAAATTTCATTGAATTAGGGGAAAATACATAAGTAATAGGAATATAACATAAACATTAATCACGACATCTCATTAGCTGAGAAAGACATTTTTGAATAGAAACATGAAACCACTCAAAACAATATTTCCAACTTATATTGAATAATATAAGAAAGAGACATCAACGGCAGAATCGGGAGGGAAAAGAACAGCAAAATTGTTATAAATACAAGGAAGAAATTTGAAACAAATTATTAGCATTTGTGAAGAATACGAACTAATAATAACAAAGGCCTAGTAGGGTAAAAGAAAATTCATTTTCACAATATCAGTGACTCACACAATGTTGAAAATATGGATGTTTTTCTGCAGCTTTACATAATTTCCTTCTTCTATGAGAAGCATATCAGAAAATAAAATAATATTCAATTTAAAAATTTGATAATAGATGATAGAGAGATAAAATAAGCAGAGGTACGCTTATTGCACATCATACAAATGCAAAAGCGAACAGGATTTACATGTTATTAAAAAAAAAAATTTGAAAAATGAGAAGAAAGAAAAAAAAAACTTATGTGATCACATAATTCCTTTACCTTCAGACGATCTCCAGATTTACACCAAGCCACAGTATTCACTTCGATACCTGACGTTGTCAACTTCCTCAAAGGGCAAACATCATCACCAACATTTTCACTTGTATTCCAAATCACTGCATTTTCAGTGCTGGACCCACTAAACAAATATTTGCCATCTGGGCTGAGACAGCTCCTTGAATAAAATGAACGTAAAATTCCACCAGTGAAAACAGCAGCTGAAAAAAGAAAACTATTTTCACAAAATGAAAACATTACAATTAATTTCAATCATTTTTTACATAATCCCAAAGGTTGTCAGGAATTTCATTTGTCTTCAGTTAACTAAAAGCTTCATTACCAACTTTCTTGACTGACTCTCGTACAAATGTCACTTAATATAACAATACTTTATTCTTAATAACTTTCAAATAATTTTCAGCAATTTTTCTTTATACCATTCTATACAACATAAATACCCATTTATTATATCTCAAAAAAAGTTTTTCAATTGTTTAAAAACAAAACACTAACATAACAATAAAAAGTTGGGAAATTCAAATTTTGCTTGCGTTGTTCCCACTAAAGCAATAGCATGATATGACAACAGAATTGTTCTTAAGAAAATAAAATCGGAAGGTCATTTGAAAATGTCTAAATCTAATACAGTATTATTCTTTCATCTAACATTCACTACAAGATATGCATTATTCTATAAAGCAAAGGAACAAGTCTTGTCTCTTTTAGTGCAAGTATTTTATCCCAAAATACTTGAGATAAAGTCTATATGATGCTGGTAAGTCAGTAGCTCGCTTTACTCTAGGTCCCCATACTGCAAAATCTAGCTATTAATTTATAGACAAACACATGAAATTTTACTGTATTAGTCTTCATCATTTTTTACTAATATTTACATGACACAAAAAAGAATTTTCTAACTCTACAAGTTGGCAAAAAGAAATATATTTATATTGGCTAGTTTGCAAACATTTTGAAGAAAAATTATCTTGCAGAGGGATAAAGTGTGTTACATTTAAACTAGTGGAGCTACCATAGCCCATAATTTCTCACATTGTTTCTAGATGCTCCGCAACATTATACTACTACATAAACCAGCAAGAGTTTTCAAGCGGAAAAGTATTTTGCCACTCCAAGACCGAACTCAGATCCTCACAGTTAAAGTGTCGGCACTCATACCACCCCACCACACAAGCGACTTATGGGTCGAACTAAGGCAAATGCATAAAAAAGTAGATGGCTGATACATGTAAAAAATCCTTCAGCAATCAAAATATCCATTAGAACCTCCCAAAGAATGTAGTCCATTCAGACCAGTCAGGGAATATCAATTTTGAAGAAAATTAGCTCAATGGTATAGGTGCCAACATTGAACACTGACGGACACACAGACAGACGTTTTGCTGTCTATCAATTTTTCGACATCATGAACCAACAAAACCTGGATTCTAGCTACACCACGTGTTAGAGGATTTTTTTTTTAGCAACAGGATTTATCCACTTTTTCATTACCAGAGCCTGGCAATAAAGAGTTATTCTGAGAAAAATTCACCGTTCTCTGGTGCCTGATTACACACCTTACCTTTCTCTTCTTAGAAAGAATTCTCTTACGAAAAATTCGAAGAAAGTAAAAAAACAACTGAAATTCTCATTGGTACTGAAAATGAACTAATATCAATTGCAATAGTTACCTGGCGAAATATCTGGTGTGTTCAGAGCAAAAGAATAAATTCTATCGCTAACGTTTGAAGCATACAATCTATGCCTATCTCGATCAATTGTCAAACATGCATAACCGGATTGATCTTCAAATTTCTTATGACTAATCTCGCAGACAGGCTGGGGTTTTCTGGAATAGGCTGCATAGTATTTCCGTAGATCCCACAAACGAATTTTCCTGAAATATAAATGATCCTCATGAGACAAATTAAAAAAATATATATTACAGTGAATTATCAAATAATCTGAACCACTACAAAGACATTATTAAGAAACTATTTTCATTAAAAAAATTAGGAAGTGTTCACTAAAATGTCAAACGGTTAATTATTGAGATTGAATTTACAATTATCCTTGAAATTTCACTTGCTAATTTGGCTTTGAAAATTTTAAATATTTTGGACCATTCACTCTTCTTATCAACTCTATATACTAATAACAACGTAACATATTTTAGTAAGAAAAAATTCCTAAATGTAACTATAAAACTGAAACATCAAACTTTTAAAAATCAATAGCTGAAACTTCATGACATCAAATGTGATACTCTTTTCTTTAAGTTAGTAGATTCTGAAGTTGTTAAAAACAGCAGCAATTAAAAATTACACAACTACATTACACATCAAAGGAACATCATCAGGTGGGAAATCAAAGAATAGTAACAAGAATGGTTTTTTGGTTTCCAAAACAATTTGCAATGCCTCAAATACTTAGAAATATGGTTGTGGTGATTACAAAAACCGAATCTGCACTTCCTCTTAATAATAAAATAATTGTAAATAAATTATGTATTTGTTATATAATTAAACAAATATAATTGTTATAGAACAATGTGTAGATTAGAAGCCCTGACCACCGGCATCCAAAACACACTCATATGTATACAATGTCTAATAAGGTTAGCAACGATATGATGGCAATCATGAACTGATTCATGATTGAAATTTTGACTATTTGAATAACAAACAATTTAGCCCTGGAAAAGGAGACCAGACCCTAGAGCCTAAAATGCAGAAAAATGAATATTCAATCTGTTTTATTTGAATTTATTTTTTTAACAAAAATAGAATAATATATTAAGAAAAATTGTCAAAAATTAAAACACAGAACGTTCATATATGTTGACAGTCCAACAAATAAATTAAATTACTGCATTAGTTAGGCGAGTGTATGCTACAATAACAGGAATTTCAGTGGGTTCAACATGTCGTTGATGCAATGTGTGATCCAAGCGAAGGGTGAAGGGACTGTGAAAGGACAGGCATCATTAAATACCTTCTTCTGATAGTGGCACAGCAGAACTAGCTCAATGTAAGAAGGTACAAAACAAATGAAACTCGTATACAATTTCGTATTTATTGTAAAAATAATAGTAATTTCTAAATTTAGAAAAAATCTGAATCCAAAGTTTTGTTTAAGAAAATTGAATTCAACGATTACAGTAATACAGCAACAAATGGAAAATGCAAAAATACAAAATTTTAAACATCTGTTCTAGAAAAAAATTGGAAACCTGAAAAGAACTAATATTAGGCAAACAGAGGATAATTTTTACTGAAACTAGCAGTATTAAATAAATTTAATGATACCTACATAATTAATTTATAATTCCTCTCACAAAACCTAACATTTGTAAAGAATAATCTGTTACCAAGTCTATTTGGAATTTTAATTTCACTCTGAATCAAAAATGACTCCTAGATCTTTGAACTGCAGGACATTTCCTAAAATACAATCACTTATTGAATGGTTATCATGAATTCAGAGTTCTTGAATTCAAAAATCGAAGAACTTTACTTTTGGAGAAATTATGAGAGATGGTTTAACTTGCATGACAGAAGACTGTCTAAGGATTGTTGAAGTAAAGTATCAGTCTTTGATCTAATTTCCATACAAGTAAGGCCATCAGCAAAAAGTAAACTAGGAACTACAACAGTAAATACTTTCTTGCATTATTTCTAACTTGTGCAAATTTAAAAAATTCTTCAGAGTTCTATGAAAACCTGTGCCATTCTCCTAAGCATCTTTTGTTCTACCTTTGAAAAAATTTACAGAAAAAATTTGGAGCTGTTTTTGAGAAAACATTTTTAATAATTTATATTAACTTCAAGAAGAAATTATGGAACATTAATGGGTTTTTTTTCCCCAAAAAATTTGTGATGTGTTCATTTCATTGTGTGAATTTATATTTGTAATGTGTTGATTTTATTTAAGACAAAAATATCTTCAATACTGTAGTTTTGCAATGTTAACTTTTTTGTAATTTTCGACAAGACAGTTCCCTGAAAATTTTATTCTATACCTTTGATACATATAAGGAAAGAGTAATTGTTTAAAAATCACCTACATTTCACCCAAAATTACATGAAAACTATTCATATTTTCAAAAAATTGTTAACTACCATATTTCAAAATTTCTTTAAAGAACAGATTTTATGAAGGAAAAAATGAGCTTTTGCAATTTTCAAAAAGATTGAGATTTAAACAAAAATAAAACCAGCAGCATTCTTTTAAGCATCCTTTACGCAATCAAAGGTCAAAATTTAAAACAAAAATTGCAGCCGTTTTTGAGAACATTTTGGGAATGTTTTTGAGGCTCCATGGTAAGTTCCCTTCAAAATCAAAATATCAGTTTCAAACTCAGAGGGCCTGAAGTTCCTTTAAAGTGATCATTGAACATCAAAATTGGACAAAACCGGCTGAATGTTTTTGTTGCTAGCGTTCACCACAAGCGGAAGGATAGACAGACATTTTGGCGTCAATTGATTTTTCACAATCAAGGACCCACACATGGATTCTGGCTATACCGTGTGTTAGAGGAAGTTATTTACTATATACTGGATTTATCCACTTTCACATTATCAGGGCCAGGCAATAAAGTATTTTTTCTATCCAAAATTCAGTTTTCTGGCACATGATTACATAACTCTCTCTTCTTATAAAGTGTGAGAAAGTAAAAATGTGTTGTGAAGCATGAATTTGAAATCACTAAAGAGGCATTCCTTCGTTAGAAAAGCCTATAAAGTCCTGTACTACATACATCTTAAATGACCATGTTGTTTCAAATAAATTAAAAAATTATAACTGTCAGTACACAACCAAAAATAAACACACGAAAGAAAACCAAATTTACATAATTTCTCACAGTTGTCATTTGAAATGATAAATTTCAGCCAGCACAGTACTTAACCTCGACCAAAGTGCCCTTGGGTGTATCTCTCACACACATGACAATTTGTAGAACTATAAGAAGCTAGAATGTGAATTACAGTGAGGAAAGACAATGATACTGCATTACTGAAGGGAAGTACTCAGAAATTATAGGAATAAAATTGTTGTGTGAATTTGCTAGAGGGCTGTATAACAATGACATTGTAGTTTTATTTTTTATTAGGTTCTGTTTACTCAACTAAAATATAATACTTACTCTGTCCCTGCAGCAGCCGTTATTAGGTTAAATGGTTGATAAAAAACTATTCCAGTTATGGAAGTGTTTTCCACCTGTGGCTTCTTTCCAACTTTCCAAAATCCTGAAAATATTTTGTTGGGTAATAAATTCCGTAACTACAAAAATACTACAGAAATGTGACAACACTTACTGGCTCTTTCATGGGCATTGGTGATGCGGTTTTCTAGCTTCCCAGACCGGGTATCCCATATAAAAAGGACTCCACTTCTGTCCCCTGTGCAGATCATACCTAAAAGAAAAAAAGTGTAAAATGACTGACTGCAAAAATACACAGAGAATAAAACACATTAATTTTTTCAATTGATAATAATTTTTAATTTCTGAATAGCAAACACAAAAACAAATTAAATTTGATTTGTCTGTGATTCATTTCAAAATATAGATTCATTCCCATATAGAATAACAAATAGTTTCTTGATTTCAGTTTGTGTATGTATCTATGTATTACTAATTATCAAAAACAACAATATTTTAGTCACAATAACATTGAAGATATTATTGTGACTAAGCTCTCAAATCAAAGCAATGTTTTCCATATTTCTGAATGTTTTTTCAGTATATTCAGAAATCTATATTCAGGCTTCAAGGGAATTTTCATTTTCTCCTTACTTCCTGTTTCTTTAATTTGTGATTCATTTCAATTCAGCATATGATCTGAACCTCTTGATTCATATCACCTCTTGATCAAACAGTAGACCTGTGGTCATCATGTTTGCCACACAAATACATGTTAATTGTTTAAAATTTGACACAAAAACGGCATAGAATAAAAAAGTTACATCACTCAAGTGTTTTAAATCAGATTTAGACAGAAAGAAAAAATTTATAGGAGGTAGAGACAGCCACGTGAAAATCTTGGCATGTACCCGATAAGTTTGACCTAATACAGGTGTGATGTATCCTTTTTATAGATGATATTTTCCACTCTTGCTATTGGAATATTGGCAATCTTGTAAGAAGCATACAGTTATTTATGCTTTCATGTGACAATTATTATTTTACATGTTGATACATTAATGATATACTCTTTGTTTTATAACAAAGTTATTTATAATAAGTTACAATTTGTCAATGTCATCCAGAAAACTCTAACATTTAAATATTATTTCTTATCAACAGCAAATTACAGGATATTCAATTTTTATCACAATGGCTAGATCATATATGAACAGTAAAAAGCACTAGTAAACCCAAAAGAAAGACCTGAGGTAGTCCTGAGGGTGCAGGAAAAGAGTTGGACTGTGAGTTCTTTATCTGGACAATTCAAAGTGATTATGAATATTACTGTCAATCCAATTAACTCCAAGATTATATACAGTTGACCAGGATATCTAGATCAACCCTATCAAATTTCATTCAGTATTACAACAGTAGTCAACCTTTGGATAGTTTCAATATTTCATTTCAAACAGTTCCCATGCAAATGGGCAACAGATTACATTGGTCAACTTACAAGTCTAACCAACTGAGCTATTTTCAGAAAAAACAATTCAAAACATCTGGCAAGGTCTCTGTGACCTTCCCGTCAGTAGGAGAATCGTCTGCAAAAACTGTGTAAAGAATGGTAAATGATTTTCTACTCTAGGTTTTGGTGTAGTTCCAGAAATGCTTGCTTCTCAATGGAGTAGAGCAGGGATTCGAATAGAATTGGTACTGACCCCATGAAATCGATGAAATTATAAAAAGTACTTAGGTAATGATGATTAAGGGGTTGATAGCAGAGTCAATATCTGGATATGAATCGATAACCAAATATTATAATCAAGACCCCATTGATTAAAATAGATATTAATGAATTTTATAATTAATACAGTTTATGACAATAAGCTAGAAAACATCTCATAATAAATTACAAATTTGCTCCTCTTCTTTCATATCCATTATCCATCAATAAGATGTTTTAAATACTCAAGAAATTAAATTATGTATTCACATCATTAGAGTAATATCTATCATGCAAGAAAATATTTTCCAGAACAAAAGAAGCCATGTCTCCATTCACTGAAAACCGAGACATTCCCGACAACTTAGAAAAACTCCACTGAAACATTTGGCACTTATTTTCCATGTTCATGCGTTTTTTATAAGTCCCAGATAAATACCTATACTTCCCAAATTAAATTACTTTAGATATACTTTTATACTTATTTGCTTTCATGCTTATACACCCATAATAAAATCCCAACTACAGATATAGTGTAAGAGACGTGACCACAATTGACCAAGGAGCCTATATTTGAGAAAATATGGAAATTTTTTAGATTTGAAAAATTCACTAAAAGCAAGCCTCAAAAACTAATGTCAAATTAAGTATAATTTGTGTGCAAATATAAACCCATAAGGCAAAAAAAACACAGTAATAATAAAATTTACTTTCCTTGTGGGGGTAAACACTTTAAAGAGAAAATTACCTGCATTATCTGGACTCCAGGCACAGGTTTTTGCGGTGGCAGTATGACCTGTAAAGGTATTTACTTTCCGGATTTTTAAGTCAGGATTACAATCCCACATGACAACTGACTTATCTCCAGAAGCAGTTATCATCCGAAGATCATTGGGAGACCAAGCCATGTCAAATATGGCGTTGTCATGAGCATCATTAACTAAAAAAAATTTAAGCATTCAATGTCAATTCTATGAAAGCAGTTGAATACGAAGCTATTATATTCCAGCAACCTTCACAGTAATGTGGAAGTAAAATTCCAAAGGCAATATTTTTATATAATCTAGCAACCTAATAACATTAACCTTTCTCACAATTTACACCAACATTTTAAGTGTTTGAGATAAAATTATAAGAAGTTTTCACATTAAATGAAAATCATAATTCAAGGCTGTATATAATTTTTTTCAGGCATATAACTGGCATCCTACCAATTAGTTAATTTATTTACAAATTCTCTTCTTGCAAAATGTTAACACCAAACGAGTAGCATTTTCAAACAGTTATGTTCAACATAACAGTACATTTTCATTTAGGCACAGTGGACATGGGTCTTCCCAAGGTTTAAATTTACCAAGTCATGACACTGACATGTTTATCCAAAGAATGTGATATTTTAGTAATATAGAACAACATGTCATAACGTATTTAATTCAAATACAATAGCAAGGAGATTTGGTATTCATGATTAGCAGAACAAAAAATACACTTGTAACATTTTGAGAAATGCATGAACAATTCTGAACCTTCAAACACATTTTTAAAAAAACCTCAAGAATTCAGAGATTTTTCACAAAATCAAATGTTTCTTAGCATACAGTGTAAAAAAACTTAATCCTTAACACTGACAAAACCAGAAAAAGCAATAAAAATAATAAAATACTTTATGGATTAAACCCTTACATGGATTGCTGGATTTGCTTTTCATAACTGGGAAAGTACTCGTCAAAAACACCCAATTTTAAAATTTGCATTCAAACAGCGGATAGTAATCAAATATGTACAGAACATTTACAGAATATTGAATGAGTTTTGAACACAAAAGAAGTAATTTACACACAACTTATAATTCCTAAATATATAAAATATCAGTGCCTTACTCTTTCTTAGGTAAGATCCCAATTCTTTCGGACACATTAGAAAAAAAAATTAACTTCCATATTATAAGAGATTAATAAAGAAAAACGTGCTTGATCTGGGCCAGATGATCAAATGTCATAAACGACCTGTCCATCTTGGATTACAGTTTTTGCCAAATTTTTCACTTAGAATTAGTTGACAACTGTCATTGGATACGCATTCAGAAGAAGATAGCAACAACCAGTAACACCTGGTATGAAAAATTTGAAAGTGGTAACATGAAATGTGCAGTAGTACCCCTCACCACACTACACCACTTAAGGATTAGAATAAACAGTTCTTGCCAAAAAAAATTGACATAGTAAATGTTAAACCAAAAGGCAACAATGCATTTTCAGGCTATCATTTAATACATAGATCAGAATGAATTAGTCTGATTCTTCAAAAACATTCATAATTCTATAATTAGAAATGTACTTGTTCTGGTGCCACATCCTATTGATCAGACACTGGCATCCAAGAACTAATTCTTAGCCTTATTACACAAAATTCTACAACACACAATTATTACACACAATTCTTGATAATTTCAATGGTAATAAGACAATTTGTCTTTGTTCACCATGTCCCAAACAAAAGGTAAGTAAAAGTTTTTACAACCCTATCTTATGCGCAATTTAAAAGCACAACTCTACCACTAAACAATTAGCACTGCTATGGTTGACAACAAACATACATAATTGGAATCGTAAGTACCTGCATTAGAATCCAAATATGTATCATTTCTCAAGTCCCACAACATAACTTGGCCAATTTCATTTGCCGCAGCCAAAAGCGATCCATTTGAAGGCTGTGGGCAGAAATAACTGGCAAATACTGGACTTCGCCAAAACTCTAAATCTGTTTCCGTTTCCACTGTAGCTGTACAAGATTTCTTAATTCCTTTCAAAACAAAGTCATAAGAATCTTTGACGCCTAGAAATGGAGAATGCAATTAAACCAGAACAAATTGGAAGGGCATTTAAAATATTTAATTTTGATTAATATTTAATGGAATTGGAATGGTTCCCAATGTAATAAAAATCAACTACATATTATACAATCAACACAAAATTTTGAAAGACAATCAGTAGAAACCCACTTACGTTCTCCTTTCTCCCTCGATAGGAGGTAGTTGCAACGAGATTTAGAATTCTTGCGAATCATCTTCATCAAAGTGGAATATACTGCAAGAACAAGAGTGAATTATCACACCTACAACACGATCACAGTACTAGGACAATATTCATCGAATATTAACCTTCTGTCTATGACAAAACATACGTCAATTATACATTATCACACAGGAAATTTAAACTAAACACTACACCATTCCTAACACAGCCACCCAGTATAACAGTTACCGCACGCTGGCAAGAAAGCATTAACAATTAAATCAACACAAACAACCCAACTAGGGACCACTCAAGACCGACTTTCGTAGATACAACAAAGCGCGGGAACAGATCGACCTCCATGAACGTACACAATTCTGGAAGGCATCGCAAGCATCAAAGAAAATACATTGTGCAGTTCAGAGGTACCGCTTGGGGCGCTATTATCGAAAACGAATTCATTTGATGCTCAGTCGCGCAGCGCTGGCTCATAAAGAAGGTAAAAGATAACTCCGATTTTGAGAGCATGAAAGAAAAATTAATACAAATAAAAAAAACAATTTACCCAATTCAATTGCTTTTTTACTTTCTCGCACTTACTAACGTAATAAGAGGAAGTATTATAATCGTGCGCCGGAAAACGGCGAATTTTTGTCACAAATACTCTTATTGCCGGGCCCTGGTAAGGAAAAAAGTAGATAAATTCCGACGCTAAACATCCTCTCACGCGTAGAAAAAATCCTCTCACGCGTAGTGTAGCCAGAATTCATGTTTTGTGCGTCCTTCAAACCGAAAAATCGATTGACAAAACTTGTCTGTCTGTCCGTCCGTCTGTGCATAACGCTAGCGCATGAACTGTTCAGTTGATTTTCTCTAAAATTGATATTCCCTAATCGCTCTAGCTGAGGTTGCGGACCCTTGAAACCGATAATTTAATTTTTGGATTGGAATTGACACGAAGTCACTGGGACATTTTAAAAATTATCAAAAAATTAACCCAAATTTTTTTTTATTCAATTTTGTTGCTAAATAGTACAAAAATCATTTAAGAGAATGGTGTAGGTCTCATTTTCGTTGACATTCTCGATTTTTCAAAAACTGGAAAAAAAATTAAAACTTTGAAAAGACGAGTAGTTTTGGCATATTTTGGCATATTGAAATTTCCAAAAAAATTATCAAAAACCGCTCCAAATTTTTTCATTAAATTTTCTTCATTTACGAAATAAGAAATACAAACATGGTGATAAACATATTTTCGGGTATTGTTCGAGTTTTTGAAAATTGCAAAAAAAATAATTCAAAACTACAAACTTGAAGATAGAGATTTTTGCCTCAAACAGTCTGTTGAATAAAATGTCTGTTGCAAAACACAGTAGCTTTGCGAATTTTCTGCTTGAAATTAATTAAACATATATAGGTTTCACACCAACTATGGTCCACCTTCCACTTATGACAAAACCGCGCTTTTAGGAAGAATTGATAGGAAAATGTGTGCCCATTGTTGGCAGCGCCCATCACTGCATGTTGTCTGCGCTCATTGACTGAGATGTTTTGATACGGACAGAAATGCGGTCTAATACTATTACATAACTGTTACTGAGGACCGAGAAAGAATGTGCTCTTTTAGCACCACAGGTTTATTTCCGGTTTAATTTTTGTTTCTGGACAAATATATTCATTTTTTGTGTAAATAATAAATGCTTCTGTAGTGCAATTTTTTGCTTGGAGAGCATTTTTTTCAAACTGACTTTTGAGTGCTTTATCGGATTATCCAAATAGTTTATTAGACAAAATATGCATTAAGTTGTCTTAAGTGCACTATATATATATATATATATATATATATATATATATATATATATATTGTAACGCGGAGTGTTTCGGTAAAAACATTAAAACGCGATACATTTTTGGTCAACTACATACATCTTGATTAGCGTGGTTACAACGGCGAGCAACGGACAACACCAGGCGCGAGAAGGCGTGAGAAAACGGCAAGACCGTCGGTTAGTGCGGAGAAAAGCTTGAAGGAGAGCGAAGGGGTTTTGACGCGGTCAGTGAATAGGAAGTTAAATTACGGAGTAAACAGAATTTAGGAGTGAATAGAGTGTGGTAGTGCCCGGTAGGAAATAGTGCGAACTTGAGGAAGAGGGATAAGATCTAGAAACTGTGGTAATATAGTGAAACTAACAGACCGCGTGGCCGGTGATGGTAATAGTTAGTTGCCACGTGCATACGTGACTGTGTAAGAGTGAATAAAGTTGAACTGAGAAGTTGTGAAGCCAGGGGGAGCTGGGATAACGAACAAAAGGCTGACGGTCAGTGATAGTGGGTATCGCACACCCGATCTGAACTATCCTCAAAACGACCGGGGCTGGAGCCAAGGTGCCATCGTGTAACCGTTGCGAAGAGCTGGGGGAGACGCGGGCCTCCGAGCGAAGGTCGACCACCCGACGGGCTCCGAGGCGAGTCGAAGGCCGCCGATTGCCGCCGCCGCCGCAGGGGGAACATCCAAGAAGGAACCACCGGTTCTTGGAATTTAAGATATCGCGTAAATTTGAGCTCACATGTATGTTTTGGTACCAAAACGAGAAATCACTTGATTGCAAATATTGTGCTAATTTGTGTTCTCTTAGTAATAAATTGTTTATTTGTTTGAAAACTGATAGTTAAGTTTTTCTTTCAATGTTTTTGCCAAACCCTAGAGGCCCATACACGTGTAAAGACACCCGTCCCCTCAAAATAAATGTAGTGAACAGTACCGCATTCTAGTGAACAGTTCCGCATATATATATATATATATTATAGTATATATATATATATATATATATAATATATATATATAGACGTCCATGGGATTGTGCAACCACATAACGCCACCGTCTAGTACTTGTGAACACCCCACAAGCAGCAGAGATAGGCATACGCGCGGAGCAGAGCTCTTAAACGCGTAACCTGTTATCCGTTGACCGTACTAGAGCGCTCGAACTAGCGAGCAACGTTTTTCTCGTGGAGAGTTGAAAGAGGGTAAGCAACCCTACTCCTGAAATTTCCCCAGGCGTCGGGCCATAAATACGGTAACACGTTTCGGGAGCGCTCTCTGATATTCCAGCAACGACGGGGAACGCATCTCTGATATTTCTGTAACGACAACGATCGCATCGGCAAGGCTTCAATCACAGCAAGATCTTCTCGAGATAGAGTAGGAGTTTATTTAAATACGTGGAGCTATAGTAGAAATTAGACTACCGAAGTGATAGAAAGTGGTGTAAATTTTGGAATCGGAAGTAAGACTAATATTGCCTAGATTCGCGCCGAAGGACTCTAAATTATTCCAGTACGGTCATATTCTTCCTTATTACTGCACAAGTCAAAAATGTAGTAGTTAGGCCGCGCACGCAAACGAAAGGGGCGCAGCAAATTCGATAAACTGGAAGCGCGAGTTAATTTATACATCGAGGCGTATGAAGATAGAAGAAGAAGGCATCTCCAAGAAGGCTCAAGCGTACATGCGAAAGGTATGGTCTTGGATGGAAGGCAGGGCGTGTAGGTGCGAAGGATCTGGGTTCAGCGTGGGACTTCGAACGGTCGACGCAGCAAGTGGAGATTTCGGCGAAACATTGGAGCGCCCACAACCTCGAATTGGCGAGGTCATCTTGCAGTGAGCATCGCAGCGTCGGTGAGACACGTGCATTTGTACCACAGCAGTTTCGTTAAAAAAAGAACGCTGCAACGCGACAGTTCACTAAAATGGCTTAAAGTGGGAAACATTTTGTTAATAGTGGAGCAATTGAAATCCCCAATTATTGAGACAGTTAAAAAAAGAGAGTCATACATTGTACTGTTTTACGTGAAAGGTGGTTTAATTGTTGTACAGTTCTTTTTGGTAATTTTGAGGGAAGTTAGAATTCGTGTATTGTAAGATTTCTATTTGTGTTCTATTTATTCTCGTAAAACTGTGATTATTATTTTTTGTCGTGTAATTGTACCACTAAAAGTGTATGGGTAAATTATACGCTCGTTTGTACACAATCAGTGCAATTTTATTGTGTCGAGGGTTCAGAACTTTCTCGTACCCGAAAGATCTTGCTTCCTGAGAATTTTAAGCTCGCTTCACGAGCAAATCTTGATAACACGCATGCGTGCTGCTGTAGAAGGTAGTAAGTTGGCAATAGGCGGGTTACGAGCAATTGGCGCCCAATACCTGGGGCAGTGATCGATTAAACTCGAGTAAGCAAAGGAGAAACCTAGACACGAAAAACGAGCATTTAGTGGCATATATTGGCATTTGGTGGCATAGTGGCATTTAGTGGCTGAGAATTTTAAGCTCGCTTCACGAGAAAATCTTTTTAACATGCTTACTGCACATGCATGCTGCTGTTGAAGGTGGTAAGTGTATATATATATATATATATATATATATATATATATATATATATATATATATATATATATATATATATACCCCACCTACTCCCAACTTACCACCTTATATACATATTAGACCTGACTATTTCTTCAAAATATTGCCTTTTGGACAGATTTCCGCATTGTAGAGGTTGTCAAAAATTCACTTTGTAACTTAAGTACGGTATTTTCGATATATTTTTGTCAGTGAAACAAAATAAAGCAGAATTTATCAACACTAGTATTGCTGGAAATTAAAAATCACCAGCAAAACACGGAGAAATTATAGGACAAACAATTATTCGGAATTTTCTTCTATAGCAGAAAGGTTTTGCACATACCCTTTGATGACATTTCCACACAATAGCACACAGCGTTCCTACATTACACTTCGAGCGTTCAAAAATTATGTGTTCTACCAGTGGCGTCTCGTGCCGGTTGTAGTATATTTGTGCTACACCCAAACAATTACGCCATTATACCTTTATATGCATATAAGACTTCACTACACATATATGATACACCTTCCACTTCAACATTGGAATATAGGCAAAGATAAACCAGTGGATGTCAGAGACGAGGAGGTGGAGCGTCTCGGGGACGGGGATGTGTTCATGATGTTAGACAACGTCAACGGACACTGCGACAAGGTTCTCAACGCGCCCGACAGATAGATGTAGCTTCCAGCGAGTTTAAAATTTGTAGTTTTAGCTTTTCAGCGAGATGTCTCTGAATCTTTCCTGCAAATATTACAAACTGTGATATTTTAACATATGAAAATCGTATTTTAGTTTTCTTGTTGAGCATGTCTCGAAGAAAACGCGAAATTTCAGGTACAGAGTATTTCTGAAACGTACATATGAATGCATTATATACCATTCTCAGCATCCGAGTATCCTCTCCCCTTAATGTTATTTCTTGGTAAACCACTCAATTTTGAAGGCGCGGGCTGCCACTGTGGTCTACACCTCGTTAACCCAACGATTGCTACGCAAGAAT